GGGGGGGGGGGCAAGATGGCCAATCATGGCGCCACCATGACCGAGCAGCCCACTGCTCAGCCTCCCAGGGTTGCCAGGACTAGAAAGCCCGGGCTGGGTACTCGTCCTTGCGTGAGGCTCAGAAAATCCCCCCCGCCTTTGCGGTCACCGCTGCCGCGCAATCGAGAACCATTCAGGCGGAACGTGTCCACATGAGACGGGGGACCCTTGCCGGGTGGGATTGTGGGGAAGTTCCCGACGACAAACTGCTGAGTGCCTTTATCCCCCCCCCCCCCCCCCCGCCCTCCTCGGTGCGGGTGTCTGTTGCATTGGCGAGAACCTCTCGGCGGCAGGCGCATCCATGCCCACCAACAAGGCCCATGCGTCGGTGTCGGGGGGCTTGGCTGGTAAGCCGCACGCAAGTCGGGAGGCGGGGGGGGTGCCGTAGGGCCAGGCGCAAAAAGAAAAGCGCCAGCCGTATGCCGAGACTGGCCAAGTGGTGGCCCCCCTTTCGCAGCGAGGTCCACCAGCCCCCTCCGGACGCGTCCCGAGTGCGAGGACACCGGAAAGCCGGAGGGCGACGGCCCCACAAGCGAGGAACTGATCACGCCCGGGCGGTGGATTCCGAAGTGATCACGCCTGTCGTTTTCTACAAACGTCGCCCGCTCGGTTAATGCTGACTAGCAGCTACCCTGAACTCAGCCAGAGGTGAGCTAAAAGGGAAAGATGAATCCCGTACCCGGCCCGAGTGCCCCGCTTGCTGAGGTGTGTGTGTGTATGGATGCATGTACCCACGCCCCCGGGCCCGTCTCTCGGCGGCTGCATAGCCTCCCTGTACGTGCCGACGCACCCGGGCCATTCTCACGATCACCCTTGGGGCTGGTCCTCCAAGCGGTGGCAAATTGCGGGCTGCCACCATCTCGCAACCGGCCTTCCCCCGGCCCGAAACCCCCCGGTTGGGAAACATCCCGGGTGTGCGGAGGGATCACTACACAACCAGCCATCCGCAGACGCAAGCCCTTTGCTTGGCAGGCAGGGGGGGGGGGGGGGGGGAACAGAAGGAGGGCAGCCTCTCGCCCCTTTTGAGGACCCCCAGTGCCCCAGCTCCCCCAACCATTGCTTGTCCCATGGCAGCGGACCAGCCTCCCCCCAAACAGGTCCTCCCCTCCAACCCCCCCTCGCCTTCTCCCCCCTTCGCCCCCTCTCCCCCTCGCCCCTTCGCCTGCCGACTCCCGACTCCCGACTCCCTGCCATGTCTCCCACTGCACGGCCAAGTGGCTTCATCTTTGACGAGCGCTGTCTCGATCATAACTCCGGTCTGCTCGAGGGAGATCTGCCCTGCCCCTACTTGGAGCCCACCCCACACATGGATACCCCGGCGACCCGGCTGCGCGTGCTCAACATGCTCCAAGCCTCGGGGCTCCTGTCCATCCCGCATCCTGAGATGCCCGACGCGCCGGGCTGGCTGCGCCTGCCCCTGCGGGTGGCTACGCACCGGGAGATGCGCCGGGCTCACTCGCTGGCACACATTCGCCACCTCACGCGACTTAATCTCATTGGGGGTGAAGCTGGCGACGAGGCACCCTGTGGAATGTCCGTCCTTTGCGCGACGCCGCCTCCTCCCTGCTCGCGGATCCCATCAATCTTCCACCTTGACTGACATCCTCTCCGGGCTCTTTTCCACACACACACACACACGCACACACACACGCACACACACACTCTCTCTCTCTGCTCTTCTTTCCTGCAGTGGGTCCTTCGATGTTGCTCGGGCGGCGGCCGGCTCGTGCATCGAGCTGGTGGATGCTGTGTGCTCGGGTCGGATTCGGAATGGCTACGCGCTGGTTCGTCCAGCTGGCCACCATGCCGAACGCGACCGCGCGCGCGGCTACTGTCTCCTGTCAAATGTGGCCATGGCTGTTCGCCACGCACAAGCCGTGCGTGCTCTGCCTGTCTTTCTCTTCCTCTGTCACCTCCCGCGATCCTCAATCGGTTGGTGTCCTCCACCCCCCCCCCCTTCCCCCCTTGGCGCCTCCGTGTGGCTAACCGCCCCTCCCGGCAACAGCACTACAAATTTGCCCGGGTGGCCGTCGTGGACTTCGATGTGCACCATGGCAATGGCACGCAAAGCATCTTCTACGACAGCGATGCCGTACTCACGGTGTCCATTCACCAAGCCGGCAATTACCCCCGGAAGTCGGGGGAGCTTGATGAGCGTGGCGCCGGCCCCTCGGGGGCCTCCTACAACATTAATGTCCCCCTGTGGCCGGGAGCCGGGCAGACCGACTACAAGACCACCTGGGACCGCGTGGTTCTGCCCGCCCTGAAGGCGTATGACCCGCAGCTGATCGTCGTTTCGGCTGGCTTCGATGCGTCCTTCTACGATCGTGCGTTGTGCCCTCGCCACCTCGGTGATCGGTGTCGCTCTCCCGCCCGGGCATTGGTTCTTGCGCGCCACTCACCCATCGGTCCTCTTCAGCACTCTCTCGCATGATGCTCGGGTCCAATGACTATCGGTATTTCACCCGGACGCTGGTGGACTTCGCCGATGCATCCGCCAGCTGCCAGGGGCGTGTGGCCGTCTGCCACGAGGGGGGCTACTGTGACTACTATGTACCTTTCTGTGCGCTGGCCGTGTGTGAGGAGCTGCTCGGTGTCCGCACCGATGTGCGCGATCCGTTCCTGGTACGCATGGGGGAATTGCCCGGGTTGGGCTTCTCCCATCCTGTCCCCCCCCCCCCTCCCCCCCTTGTCCCTCTCCCTCTCTCTGCGTCTCTCTCCCTTTCGAGCATCGGTCTTTTGTTTGCCCACTCTGACGCTCCCCCATCTCTGCCCTCTCCTGTCCGCGCCCTTCTCCCATTCCCAGGCCGAGATCAACTCGCACCCCGGCCAGGACACGCTTTTTGCCCATCAGGCGTCTGTCATCGAGCAGGCAGCAAGCTTTGTCAGCGACATCGTCCCCCCGGCTCGCGACCAGGTCGAGGTGGTTTGGTCAGAGGCCGACTCCGATGAGGAATAGAACGGTCTCCTGGCCCTTCCTTCTCTGTCGCCTTGCCACATTCCCTTCCTACTCGTAGGATCTCGCCAGAAATAGAAAGTGGTCCCATCCCAGCAGGCAAGGCTGCCCCATATTCTTGGCTAAAACATGTACATATGTTTATGCATGTGTGTGTGTGTGTGCGTGTGTGACTGTGTGAACGTGTGTGTATTTATGTGCCATCGCCCCGAAGCACTTACACATGCATGTGTACAGGAGCATTGGGGAAATCTCCGAGAGGGCTTTCGAAGGAGCATGTGTGTGTGTGTGTGTCCGTGCGTGCGTGCGCGCGCGCGCGCGTGTGTGTCCGTGGGCAGACTTCCCGTGGGAGGAGGGAGAGCAAGTGCCTCAGTCCCGCACCGAGGAGCTCAGGATGCGCACCTCGTCCAGGGGACGGTCCTCACGATCAACACGCACATGCTCGATGTCCGTGACAACCTCCGACCCGGATGCCACCCGCCCGAAGACGGTATGCTTGTTGTCCAGGTGAGGAGCCGGGGCGGTGGTGATGAAGAACTGCGAGCCATTGGTGCCGGGACCGGAATTGGCCATCGACAGGACGAAGGGCCGGTCATGCCGAGCGCGCGGATCGGCGCTGAACTCATCGGCGAAGGTTCCACCCCAGATGGACTGCCCGCCGAAACCGGTGCCAGTCGGGTCACCAGTCTGCACCATGAACCCCCGGATGACCCGGTGGAAGAGGATGTTGGTGTAGTACCCACGGCGAACGTGGGTGGTGAAGTTCTCCACCGTCCGAGGAGCCACCGTGGGGAAAAGCTCCAGGACAATGTCCCCGCGCGAGGTGTGCAAGACCACGGTCGTCGGCAGGGAAGCCACATTGACCGAGCTTGCGGCCGCGGTGGCCGCAGTCCCGGCTGGACGCTCATTTAGAACATCACGAGCAGCACTGGCAAAGTGGGACGTGGTAAGAAGGAGAGCGAGAGGAGGAGGCAGAGAGAGAGAGAGAGAGAGAGAACAAAAGGGGACACTCCCCAGTGCAGAACGGAGGATGACAAGAAACAGGGGACAAGACGCACGCATCGCCATCAAGGTCACCAGGCTCTCGAGTGGTGAGCATGAAAAAGCGCTTCATCTTCAAGGCGGTGGCGAAGACCGTGGGATCGGTCTCGCGCGCGGCTTTCAGCGCGGGATTGTCCGAGGCAAGCATATCCTGCACGATTTGAGAGGACGAGGGGGTTCCAGGGGATGAGGGTCAGAAGCCGTGACACGAGTGTGCTTGGCTTGAATGCGGAGGGGGAGCGGGGGGAGGGGGGTAACGAACCAGGGTGGCAGCGGACTTGCCCTTGAGAGCGCCTTGATGGAGGGAGATGTGAAGGAAGCGTGCGGCATTCTCGCCATGGCCGAGGATACGAACAACACGGTTGGTCACGATGTTGACCACTTCACGGGGGCGAAGAGCAGGGTCAGGAGGGGCGCGAGAAAAAAAAAGCGCGAGGAGGGGCGGTGACGCGGGTGCACCAAGGGACATGACGTGCAAGGCACATACCTTTGATGCCGAGGAGAGTCGGATAGAGGAGGAAGTTTCCGCTGTCATCGAAAACTGAAAAGCCCACCGAGGTGAGGTGAGTAAGTCAAGCAGGGGCACCGGCGGCATGGCAACACCCCGGTGGCAGCATGCTGCGAAGTTCCAAAAGCGCACCAGTGTTCACGGAACTGAGGGCGGAGTTCGGCTTGTCCAGCTCGCGGTCCTTTGCAAGGCGCAAGCCAAACTCCATGCTATCCAGCTGGATGTGCGCAGTGCCAGCCTGGAAGGGTGGATGGAGCGTCAGAGTGGCCGGAGGGGAAGGACACCGGGGCGGTACGGGCGAGAGGGGGGGGGGGGGGGCACGACGAATGGACGGACC